CCATGGCTGGCAGATGTTTCGGAACAGTGGGGATCATTTCAAAAGGTTGCTATGACAAGGTGGGAACAGACCCAGGTCTCAGAGCTACTGTTGCGGAGCCACACTAAAAGAAATGTGATATAGGGATAATGGAAATAAAATGCAAACTACAATTTAGGGTTTAGAATTTAAAGTTTAGGGTTTAGGCTCCCAGAAATTTGGGGAGAATCTAACTCCTCCCATGCTGACGAGACACGCAAGAAGGTTTGATCCATGACCTGAGCTTCAAGGAATGGTTCCGGTGTCAACCAAGTGGTCAGAGTAGCAGCCTTACCAGCAGCTCTAACCATGGCTTAGAAAGGCTAAAAGCCCTCTAGCCATGAAGAGATAGTTTCCTCCATATCCGCTCTTACCGCGAGAGCACCCCCAATGCATATCGTTCAGGATGAGAGGCTAAGGTTCGGGCGTGGGTTGAAGGCATGCTGCAAGGGCATGCTCTGTTCAGCCATTTCTGGAGCTGTAGTTTCCCTATTACTCCCTCCACAGCAACGCGGGCCTCGAGAAAATGACGCTTCATGCTTTTTAACCCAGTTGCCGGGAAGAGAAAGCCCCCATGCCTAGGGACCCTAAGCCCGAAACCCTAAACCCTACAGGGAGTCTGGGAGGGGCCCTGTTAGAGGACCGGACTTGATGTTGACTAGGTAGTGAGAAGGTTAATAACCCCTATACCCCAAATAGTAAGCCTGATTATCCCCATCATTCACCTACTTACAAAGTCCGCCTGACCCCTCCACGTACAGGTATGAAGGGGATCGTTATATGAGGTAGGGGGACTGGAAGTCCCTTCTAGGGGTCCCTCGTGCATGCCCAAGTCTATCATTTCGGCCCTGATTACGGTTCACAATAGGGGAAAAAGCCTCATCATGGGTGGCGTCTTAAAATGCAACCTCATTGGCCCGCCAAATCCTTTACTAGCAAGGCCCCCGATCCAAAGAAACAAGCACTTGTGACACTTTGGCTGATCCTTATGGCAGTTTCCCTACATAGGAGGACCCCAATATAGATAGACCCCAAACTCTTATATTCTAGGGACCTCCATAAAGGTATCCCTAATTTGGGACCCCAATTATAAAGCCGCGGCACGGCCACTAACCTCTGCATCCTCCGCCTGGGTCCGCACATGCAACTTGTATCTGTCAATCACGTGAGCTTAAAGGGGAAGGGTTTAGGGTTTTAGGGTTTAGGGTTTAGGGTCTCCTAGAATATTCATGCTGTGGTGACATAATCTAATTCGCAGCAAACCAGTGTAGTATGGTATCCTCTTGCTGAAGCACTCTTGTTGAAGCAAGCGTAACGGTATCCTACAGTACAGATATGTAACTCCAATCTCCCATGTCCATGTGGAACAACTCTTGAGGTGTTGTCGGCGCGATGGTTTCTTGGATGCGTCGAATCAACACTCCGTGTTGTTCCTAAGCCTCGTCCTGCTCAGGGTTAGCAGGGCATGAGGGAATATAATCCCCACATAACCCCTATATACTTCGTGATAATCCTTTCCTCCCAATATGAGAAGGCTCCACCCCCTCCCACCTCCAATGTATATACTCCGACCCGTATTCAATAGGGCGGGTATTTCAGATTGATGTCCTTCCCGGTGGCATCTTGATAGACAGGGCGCCAAGCTTCGCTAAATTGGAACCCAATGTTGGCACAGGTTCTGCCGAAACTACTAAGCCTGGCTGTCTCATCGGCCGCACTAAGCAGCATCCCCGGCACATGGATATTATGTAGCCAAATCAAAAGCAACAACACTCATGATCATGAGAATAACGATTCGAACGTCTTCAGTGCGCAGTCGACCATAACTCACTACTACTTCTGACTCTGATCCAGAAAGCCCTAAACCTCACCCGGAGACCCTAAAGCCCTAGCCCCCCCCAAGCCCAAAGCTTGAAAAACACCGAAATCCTCAAAGCGTACGCTGCCGAGGCACATGTCCATTCTTAAGGCCTTGATCTCCTGCAGTGTCCCCAAGGTTTAGGGTTTAGGGTTGGGGGGGTTTTCAGAATCCAATGGAAAATGTCATGGAAACCAGTGTTATGAATGTTTGGGTTCCATCGAAAATTTCCGAAAAATTCCCCGTAGAGTACCATCATATGTTGAAGGAAAATTGTCACAAAGGGGAAAGGGATTAATGATCAATCCCTATACATACATATATCAAACTGTTGTCTATGTTCTTTTTCCTTTTCTTGCGACTCTCCAGTACTTGGGTACTATCCCTGAAGCCTATGCCCCCTTCTTATGGCACAGCTTTTTGGCTGAGGGTTTAGGATGTGTAGGGTTGAGGCCTTGGGGTTTAGGGTGTAGAGCGTGGTTTTATTTTAGGGCTTATTCGGGGTTGTAGGTCCTATAGGGTTTGGAATTTAGGCTTTCAGGGCATATGATTCGGCGTTTCGGGCTTAGGGCAAATGATCAGAATACGTATTGAACTGTTACTCGGGGCGGTCCCAACAGAAATGCATCCCAGTTCGCCAGGCTTGATTCAGCTTGCTCCTCCACTCTGAAGTACCATGCCCTAAGGGTCCAAGGACCCAAATAATACGGTTTTAGGGCCCAAATACCATTCATATCATAGTATTTGGGCCCTAAACCCCTATAAATATTACAGTATTGGGGCCTTAAAACCCTATTTATATCATAGTACTTGGGCCCTAAAACCCTATTGTCTGGGTCCTTGGACCCTTAGTTATAATGAGGCCAAGTGATCAGGTAGGATAAGAGTTTTAGGGTTTGGGCATATAGTTACAAGGGTAGGATGGAAACTCACCATCTGCCCTCATGCAGCTTAAGCTGAAAGATCACAAATCCACTGCAAAAAGGAGCCTATGATACGGAATCACAAAAAACAGAATGCAAAGACACATTGTGAAGAACCAGGCTTGAATCCGCTTGCGTTCCCCGCAGGAGTCTCCATGCAACTGCCTCAAAGCGCTATATGATCTTCAAATCTAGATCCCTGAGAAACCTTAAGGGGAATTTGGAATAATTTCAATTCCCAATTTAAGGCCAGTTTGGTACTATTCCCTATATAAACCACGAAGGTGGGGTGAGGTCGCTTTGAATTGCCCAGTAAACTCCAATGCCCCTTCCCCCCATTTTTGGACTCACCCAAAAAGCCCTTGCGTCCTTCCGGATGATGGTGTTCTCATAGCCCATGCGGGCCTAGAGTTGGGATTTAGGGTTTAGGGTTTAGGGTTTTTAGGTCAGACAGGGTCATGAAAGGAGTATAAAGGGACTAGAAGGGTGCTTTTAGAGATTATAGAGGGAGACACTCTCCGCTTAGGCTTTACGGTTTAGGGCCTCAATTGCCTCGAAGCTAGTCTAGGATTCAAAATTGGGCTAGGAGGCTTCTTGCTTGCATCCTTTCAGGGATCCATATTGTGGTACTATGATGACATCTTAATTGGTAGCCAAAATGATGTGGCTCACCATCGGCATCCCCTTTTGGGCTACTAGGGTACGAGGGTCCAGTCTGCATGTGCATTAAAAAGGAAAATTAGGACCGAGCATTTTGAAAAACAAATTCAGTGTGCCAACATGTGCCCATGCTTTGGGCGCAATAGGTCAGCCATGTAGAGCCCTAAATCCCATGCCCACCATCCAAATCTTCAAATTTAAAATCCACATTGCATGCCCTTGCCATCCTTGACTGCCTACTGAACCTCCAAACCTACACCCGGAAACCCTAAACTCCAAAACCCCAATGCCCAAAGAATCCCAAGAGGCCACTTGCAGCTGCTTCGCAGGGCCAGCCAAGTTCATGCATCCATACCTTCAGCCAAGCAATTTTGGACTGTAGAGTCTTTGGTATACAAAGCTTTTTAGTACGAAGGTCTCTAAAAGTCATACGAGTTCTCGCAAGACCCTGTGCACATTCCTGCTAAGCAGGCTCAATTGAACTTTAGGTTGGGGCAAGCCCTGAATTGAGGGCAGGCAGCTGATGGTAGCAGTGGTCGATCTACAACTTTCCGCGGGAAACAAAAACATGAGAAAAGCTTTGTCTTGCTGGCCAAGACGCACAAACTCGTCCAAGGTAATGTCCCCACTTCCGTCTGCATCAATAACCCTCGGGAACATTTGAAACTATGACTTCAAAGGCAGTCTTGAACTTAGCGCGCACGCAGCTGCATGGCTGTAAAACAGAAACGTGGATATCTGCAGCAGGGCGCATGAACAGGGTGACAACATCATCAGTGGCAATGTCCATCCTCAGCATGGCATGGAGACGTTCAGTCTACGGCGCCGTCTGCTGATAGGCGACTGGCTGCTTTCTCAGTGCCGTAGAGAAACATCAGAAAAGGCGAGATTTCTTAAATGTTCGTTAAACAGCTCTAGCATACCTGCAAGATTAACAAATTCTACTTGCTGAGTCTTTCTCAATGTGGCGACCATGTAGACTAATCAGTCCTTACTTGTTGTCCACTGAAGGATGTTCGTGAACCCTACAATATTGGACTAACCCTACTTCTGAGAAAGATAGCGCTATCCCGCTGACATTTACAACTCCAATCCGGCAGCGAGTCGAATGCATAAAGCTTCTCAGCTTCTCCTGCTGTAATGCCTCCTGCAGTACAGGCAGTCAAATGGTTAATGCTGGCTAGAGTGCTCTTCTATTGCTTTACCACCACCGTCATGACCATCATCACACAACGGTGGCCTCTACTGTTCTGTAACTGCTTCTGCTGCTGATGTGCTGCTACGTCTGCTACTCTACGGACACAAACACGACGGAGTTTGCAGGATGCGGGCGAGGGCAGTGGGAGCGGATCCAACTCATGGCCCATTAAACAACCCAAACATGACCAAAGATTTACGCGCGGTTGATCGGGGTATAGACAAGGAGAGTACAGGACAAGGAAACTAACAACTCCATGTTGCAAAGGTTGACACTGAGAACTTCTCTGTAACTTTTAAGGGTGGGAATGGCGCACAACAATCTGAACAACAACAATTCACTCCTTCAACTCCTCAAGGCTGATGACGCTCATGCCATCCTGGTCCTGAGCAGTGAGGCAATGGTTGTTTGTGACGAGTGAAGTGGTACACTGGATTGAGTCCGTGTAGATTCACGTTAAGAATTTGTCAGGCGTTCGATTTGAACCCTAGCTGAGTGGCAAAGGCAAAAAAGGTTGTTTGTGAGCTTGCAATTCAAAGAACATGGCTTCCAGAAGGAGCAGGTGTACAAGTGCAAGCCGGGCTCGGTCATTTATCTAAGAATTTCCGAGTTTCTTGTTTGGCTTGATGAGGCTGAGAAGCCGAATCGCAAAGGAAGACTTTTCACATTCGTACCGTTCAGAAGGGAACTTTGAACTTGGCATTACGCACACGCTTGCAAGTTTGGCGCGCCGAAGCAAGACAAGCGAGCAACACAAAGCATTCATTTGCCAAGCGTCTGGATTGATCTCTTCGAAAACACCTCGTAAAGCATCCACTTGTGCCTGATCTGGTCATGGTAAAAGCTCCACGCACTGCATTGTGCTGGCGGCTCTTAAATGGCTGTGACAACTATGTGCAGTCTACCGCTTTTGGGTTTACTTATGTTTGGGGTTCGCTCAGAAAGGCAAGACTGCCTCCTGAAGTCATTGCGTTTGGCAAGGCAAGCCACTGATTAAACAAATGGCAGATGACGTGTCACGGAAACCACAGGCATGACAGCTGCCGCGCCTCGTGCTTTTGCATTTGACGCATTGTGGCCATCTCCTTCAACGAAAAGGTATGTGCACAAAAACACGGATTTGAAGGTGGGAAGTCAGACTGGTGAAGCAAATTCTGCTTTTGCCATATGCCAACGACACGGCCTCCCATGTGCGCACCTGCAACTGGTGACTATGAAGATGCGTGGAAAACGTTTCATACGGATGACATAAACCAATTTCAACTGTCACGCAGATGAGTTCATCAAAGCACTGTGTGTCGAGATCATCCAGGTCCTTGTCAGCTCGAGCACTCTCGATTGCCTGGGTTTTTGTTGAATTACTATAAAAAATAGTCATTTTCAATCTATATTGGGCCCAAGTATACATAAACATGTAAAATTTTGTTCAACAAGAGCCCAGTTGCCATATTGCAGAATACCCCAGTAACCTGACAACATCTGCGTTTGTTGGTGCGGCATTGGACCCCCCGATCTGAAACATCTGAAAAAACACGCTAAGACTTGGAAGCGAGTGGACTGTGACACTGTGCATGCAAGGGGGTCTGATGCCAAGATTACCTGAAACTTGTACAGCGCTGTTGCCTGCATAGGATCATTGGTACGGTTGTTGCAGTTTACCATACTGGACAACATCATTGCAAATCACGTGGATGAAAACCACGCATGCAATTACATACATGGGCAACATGTATAGTACTGAGCTCACCACCTGGTGCAAAAATTGTTGCATAAACACGTGATGGCAATTGAAATGGACAGGCATCGTACATCTTCCTTGCTCTGAGGCTGCGGCAGTATTTAGCACCGCTAGCACTGTGATGACAATGTAGAGAATCAAGCTCATAATGGCGACGGTGGATACCCCATAAAGAGGCTGGAGGGCTTCATCCCAACCAATGCCATTCGTGACGGACAAGAACAACGTCAACATGGATTGTGGCACGCTGGCCCAAAATCTCAGCAGCTCCGGGTTGCACTCCGTAGGAACGCTTGCGTACTTCAGAGCCCGGCAATGGTCTGTGACAATTTGGGTGTTGAGGACGCCGAAGAGATAGAAAAGAATCACCAGCAGCAATGATGTCCAAAACACCGAACCCATCGTACTAACGATGGAGAAGACGATGGTTCTCAAAGCGCTGAGATACCTAGGCTGAAACATCGCAAGCTAATGAAAAACGATGAGGGGTCGGAGCTTGTGTTGTTTGGTCAAAACCTGTATCGCCATCCAGCTTGGTTCACTTTGCGAATTGATTATGAAAGATTGGAAATCAACTAGACGTGCACGTGCACAAATACGCCATTCACGTTCACATGTGTGTGCGCGTCTGTGTGTGTATGTGTGAAATTCCTGTTCGCAAAGGATAGAATATGCAGGGGCACGCGGCATTCACAACCTACCGTGTGCAATGAAGCTACGGTTGTGGATGGGATATCCGGCCTGATCAGCTGGACGTACCTGCAAGGCAGCACCCTGTGGTGCCAAGATTAGAAAAGGACAGCCCCCTGCGGTGTCCAGATTATTTTTCTGCGGTGGGTTTTACATGTCAGGCAGGCGCAGTCATGTCAAGCATGTCAGTGCAACATGTCAGTTTGCAGTACATGTCCTTGACATGTGCAGTTTGTGCCAACCAAACATGTTGATATACTGCGCGGTGCATGCAGTTGCGTGTGCTTGAACGTTTCCTTTGTCTTGCTCAGCACAAATTGCCGTGCTGTGGAGCTGAGCTTTGAATAACAGAAGAAAGGCGGCAAAGCAAGCACCCCTCTGGGGGACCACCAGACAAAGGAGATGCGGCAAGTAACTCTAGAACCTAACCCTTCCAAGGGTCAGCAAACGGCATCTGTGCAAACATGGCTGCATCATGCACTATACTCATGATACCCGCCGGCACAATTACACTGATGATACATCTGTTTGTACGGTCGTGGTGCTGGCGCCCCTGAAGTTTGCCAGCACCCTCGACGCCCTCAAATTAGAAGCCACAAGTAACAAAGACACACTCGAAAGAGATCAGCAACACCTTCGACGATGTCATGAAAAAGGCCGCCTTGGCTATGTAGTCCTTCGATGAGCGCAGGACCGTTGATATTTAGAAAACGCCCGTGGGCCCTAGCAGCCAGCCTGTCAGTGACGAAGACCATGGTTGCAAGCGCAGGCGACGTGCGTGCACGGCCACGCCTGCACGCCGCCGACTAGAGTGCACAGATAGCATGCTGCAGTCCGCCCCGCCGGCCATCCTTGGACGCTAGCAGCCGGCCCTCCATCCCACGTCAAGGCCGCTTTTCTGCTCGGCCGACTGCGCGCGGCGATGCTGTCAGCTGAATACATGAAACTGCCAGACCATGACTCGACGGCGCCCCGTAACGAAAAATCCCAAACGACTGATCCTGACAGGACCACTCCTTGCTCCGGGCAACATTTCACAAGATGCCTGGCCGCAGCAAACCAGCTGCGGACAGTTAGGCCCGTTAGGTTCCTTCATCATCTAGCGCGCTTCATGTAGAGGAAGCAAAGCGCCGTGTTGCCTCTTCTAAAAGTGGGTTTTCGTTGGCAGGTGTTCCTCTTGCATGCTCGACTGTCACAGGCCTGGCCCCCTATGATTGCAGTCAGGTGCCCATTCTTGATCGTTGCGATCCTCACTGGAAGGCAAGCAAGTTCACTTATCAGCGCGATACCTCGACGTTTGATATATGTTGGAGTCTGAGGCTGAAGGAGATCAGCCAACAAAACCCAACGTGCTTCTGAGCAATTCATTGCAAGCTGGACGCCTGCAATGCTTTTCTGTCACTGCGCCGAGGTGACCTAAGCGCTCTGATGTCCTATATAGACGCTGGCCGTAGAATCTCCCTGATGACGAGCTGACTACAAAACACAATGAGGAACAAGAGTCCACACACGAGCAACACGCCCGTGCATGTCACGGAGAATTCACCATCACCGCTTCCGCCCGCGCCCGAGCCACCACCGACGCTCACGGTGGCAGTGGCGATGACCACCACGAGCACAACAAACGACCACAACGACCGAAAAGACCAAGAGCACAATAATGATATCTTAACATTTGACGTGACGATGGCGAATACTGAGATGCCTGCAAGGTCATGACCGTGTGCTCACAATAGTTAGCCGCTTGTTTGGCCTGTACATTCAGCACGGATCTGTCTGAATATCTGGCGCATTTGTGTTTGTGTCTGTGTGTCCTGCACGAGATTTGTACGTAGTCACAGGTAGATTGTATGTAAACGCACCCACAAACCGGTGTTCGCACAGGCGCGTAGATGTGTTCCCGCACCACCACTGAATCCCCGGAACTGCCGTTTGAATGCAACCTAGGCTTGATGATGTGCAATTTACCGCGCTTATGAAAAGTCGAACTGCACCATTCGAGAACATAATATGCAAGCCAGTGCTACTTGCTGCTGCTTCTGCTCCTGTTGCCAGAAGCTAGTTCAACCCAGGAGGTCTGTCAAATTGTTAAATGTGTAGACTAACTGTCAGAACAACAACAACCAAGACCTCAGCAAATGTCTGAACGAGTCAGCAGCAAAGAGCTGCACAATGTGTGAATGAAGAACTGGCGGCACAGCATATGAAACCTCTAGGTCCAAGTCCGAGAATCCTGAACCTGTCTGGCTCCCACTACGCGAAGTTCTGTCAATTGCGCATCCCAAATTCAAAGTGGTGGCCCTGCAGAGTGCATCCCACAAATGGGCAGCGGCATTTTCCCTTGAATGCAATCTCCCACATGCCATTTCTGTTAGCAGATTCAAGTCTCTCCCAAATGTAAAACAGACGCCTACGAGACCTCTAACGGCTATTACAAAGTAAAGCAATGAGGTATTCGCCAAGCTCTCAACCCTGTTTGGGGTCCCGAAATCTACCGGAGTTGAGGCACTGCAGCAACCGCAGCACCCGGACCCCGCGGAGGGCCCGAGCCATTCGTAGGAAGCCTGCCAGCACTAGTTTACAGCTTCCAGTGTTTAGGATGGCTTGAACAATGCTGCTTCCTGAGTGAAGCGACAAAATGGGTCCTCATGTATGGCTGCACTTACCATGACTCACATTCTTGCTTTGGTTCTGGAAAAGGTTCGCGGAGTACAAGGACAGCACCGCCGGTGACTGCGGTTTCTGGCACAAATGTAGCAGATGAGTGTAGCGAGGCCCTTGATGCGCAACGCAGTCTATACGTTTCACCATGTTTCTGACAGATGGAAGAATAATGAGGGAGCGGCAGATCATGCGGATCTGAGATGGTGTTGCTTTAACATGGCATCTGTCTACACCTTGCATTTTCGGTAGATACAACTCTCATGACTCTCATGGAAGTCTCGGGCTGGATCGAGAACACCTGCACGACAGAAAAGCTGTTTCCCTACGGGTCCAACTAAACATCCTACTCACTTGGACTCTTGTAGGGTTCCAACAGAGAGCAATCCGCTTGAGGTAGCCCGTTGCGCTACACTTGGAGGTTTCACTAGGAGGGTTGCATGGAGCGACGCTGGTAATGCCAGCCACTATGTTAAGGACGCCATTACAGACACATGCCAATTCCGGGGTTCTTCTTTGCGGGGTTGGGGTGGACAAAACCTTCTTGAACATTCTGTGCCCCCTAACTCAGGCCCAGTTCGCTGCTCTTGGCTGCGCAGTAGCAATCAAACCACGCCTCAACCTAGAAACTGTACCCCCAAAGAATTAGCCGGCAGTTGACAAATACTCTATGGCTGGGTAATTGGATCGCGCTGTTCTCATATCATAGGATCAACGGCAACAATCGACATGGTCAAGACACTCTATGTCCCTTCGGAATCCTGGTAGACCCGTCATTTTCGCTAGCCGAGACCCTCCATACCCTTGCAGTCCCCATATCGACAACATGAACAGAAACTTCTCAAATACTCACATCAGGAAAGACAAGTGGCGCATGGTACGCAGCTGCGATGTATCCATCTGCGTGGCAAACCTTCGTAGGAGGTCGGCCATGTACGGTTTGGGTGGCTGGTTGCTTGTGCCAATTGATTCTGTTGAGAATCTATACTCTATTGTGCTACTATGGTAATTTCCATGTCCTTTTCCATTATCGCTAAATTCTCCCTCTATTCTATTCCCTTATGCCCCCTATGTCATATTCCCTTATTCCCCCTATATCATATGCCCTTATTCCCCCAATACTATATTCCCTTATCAGCAACCACAACTTTGGCACTTCTTGAATTCAAGCGGTTGGCACGCCATCTCGGGAATTTTCAGCGGCTTGGATGGGATATGAATATGACTTCAACCAAGAGCCTTCAACTGGCTGATAAGGGAACAATATGTAGGGGGAATTCAGGGATAATGGAAAAGAGAATGGAAACTACTATAATAGTATAATAGGGTACAGGTTCTCAAGAGGATCATCTCCCTAAACTCTAAACCCTAAACCCCATGAGCTACTCCAATAATGAATAGCCTGACTTTGGCTTCAAGTTCTGGCAAGCGAGGCTACAACCGAAAGCAACGTTTGACCTACTGGGTTCTTAGTAGGGAACGTGGGAATATAGTTCTGATAGACTATATACCCTGAACCCTAAACCCCTTAGTAGGGAACATGGGAAGATAGTCCCTATACAATATACTCCCATATTCCCTGCTAAGCACCCGTAAGTTTAAGGTATCCCTTTGCCGCTTTCGGGCTGGGGTTGGCAGCAGATTTGCGCTCACTTAGCATTTCAACTGCTGCTGGCATTGACTTACTGGTGCTTAATAGGGAATCTGGGAATATATGGCTACTGATGAAAACCACGTGCCCTGAGTGCACGTTCCTATGCTGTCTGATCCGGAGGGTCTGGATCGCATACTTGATCCGGAGGGTGTGCAACGATG